CCGAGCTACCTCTCCAGCCTTTATTATTATTATTATTATTTTACATTTTATTTTTTAGACAGTCTCGCTATGTAGTTCAGGCTGCCCTTGAACTCACTATGTAGCCCAGCCAGGACTCAAACTCATGGCAATCCTCCTACCTCAGCCTCCCAAGTGCTGGAATTCCAGGCGTGCACCACCAGGCCTGGCCATCCAGCTTTAAAAAGTTTTAATTTTTTTTTTTTTTTTTTGAGACAGGGTCTCAGTAAGTGTCTAAGTTACCAAGGCTGGGCTCAAACTTGGCTATCCTCCTGCGTCAACCTCTCAGAGTGCTGGGGTGATAGGCGTGCACCACCAGGCCCTGCTAGGGGCTGGAAATCTTGAAAAACCTTCCCATTCCTAAAAGTCTTCATTGCTTCTTAAAGAGGTAATAGGAGTCCCCCTGGGATGTGAAAACTCCAGTCAGGTGTCCCAGCGAGGAATATGTGATGTCTGGAACGCATAGCCTCTCCCGTCCCATTGGGTGTCATGTTGAAGTTGGTCCTCTACCTATGTTGGTATCTGTCCCAAGACAGTTGTTATGAGGATTAAAAGGGCGCCTATGTGGAAATATTAAGTGTTCCTGCACTTAGCAGGCATTGGTTAAATAAATTTAAAACGTTATGGATGCATTCACATGGTGCTCACCCTGGGCCAGGAACAGCCCCAAGAGCTTTACAGGGGTTGGGGCACTTCATTATTACTTCTACCCCGAGGAAATGGAACTAACCTATCCCCACCTACAGATTAGGAAGTGGAGGCGTTATATCACATACCTAAAGTCACCATCTAGGAAAGATGGGAGCTAAGAATTCATTCCAGGCAGCCTGGCTTGGTGCACACACTCAGCCATTTTGCTAACTGGCTGTCTAATAATTCAAGGCTGTCCTATATGGTGTTCAAACCATGCACTTCAAAATTTCAGGCAATACTTACCAATCGCCAGAGAGTGTGTACAACCTGCAACCCACCTCTTTTTTGGGTATTGGGGATTGAACCCAAGGCCTTCTGAGTTACATTAGCCCTTCTTGAGACTTTTTAAATTTTTGAGACAGGGTCTCACTATGGTGCTCAGGCTGGGATTGAATTTGCAATCTTCCTGCCTGAACCTCCTAGGTTACTGAGATTTGAGGCACATACCACCACCTCTGGTTGCCTGCATTTTTTAAATGTCATAATAAAAACAACTTAAAAGGAAGTAAATTAACTACACTGTGTATTTTATATTAGGCCCAAGACAATACCTGGTCAGAAAAAAAAAAAAAGCAGGCTGCAGGTTGGAGATAGGCCCGAGTAGACTTGACTTTTTACCAGTTTCCCAACAGATGGCAGTAAAATGCTGTGTTCTAATATCAGTGTCTCACCATTTTCTGACAGATGGCTTGGGGAAGGAGCACCTATTTCTAATTCACTCTTCATAATATCTCCATGTAAATATAGGCCATGTATATTAAATGCACATCTAGTAGGTGTAAGGAGAGAGATGTCTTTATCATGTAAGTTAGATACAGTGTCACAGCTTTATTGAAGAATAAAGTTTGCATCTTTTTTTGTTGTTGTTTTGCAGGTTGAACTGAGCTACATCTCGGCTCCTTTTTTATTTTGAGGCAGGGTCTTGCTATGTTACCCAGGCTTGGCTTGAGCTTTCTATCCTCCTCCTCAGCCTCCCAAAATTCTGGATTACAGGCACAAACCACTGCACTGGGCTGCACGGTAATTCTGCTAGTGGTTAGACATTCAGGTGAACTCAGACAAGCCTGACAGAAATCTATCACTAACACCGAAGGCAGGGAAAAAGCTACCTTTGTGTTTTCACAGCCATGAATGGTAAACAGGCCAACAATAGGAGAGGAGCTCCAAGAAGGAGACTGGAAATAGAAGGCCAATTTTCTCAATATGGGCAGTGTGATTCTTTAACACAATGCCAATATTTAGTGAATTTTTAAGTGCTGTTATTAAAATATTTTGCTATTGTTCATTTGATGCACTTGTGCTTCTAAGCTGTCCTTCCTTTCAAATTGAAAATAATTGTAATTCTTTTAATACAGTTTTTTACCAGGAACAATAGTCCACACCTGTAATTCAAGCCACTCAGGAGGCTGAGGCAGGAGGACCACAAGTTCAATGCCAGCCTGGACAACTTAGCAATATCCTGTCTCAAAACAAAATATAAAAGGGTTGGGCTGGAGCTTGGTGATAGTGTTTACCTAGCACACTTGGTTCAATCCCTAGTGCCACATCCACACACAAAAATGCAGTTTTCCAGGGACACTCTATCACATTAGTCGTGTGTGTGTGTGTGTGTGTGTCTTAGATCAGGCTGCTATAACAGAACACTGCAGACTGTGTTGCTTTTTTTTTTTTTTTTTGGTACCAGGGATCGAACTCAGGTCTTTGCGCTTGCGTAGCAGGTGGTCAAACCACTGAGCTAAATTCCTGGCCCCGTAGACTGTGTAGCTTAAACAATGAACATTTATTTGTCAGTCTTAGAGGCTGGGAAGCCCAAGATCACCAGCAGATCCCATGACTGATGAGGGAACTCTTCCCAATTTCCAATTTCCAGCTGGCCATCTTCTTGCTGTGTCCTTACATGGAAAGAGCAGAGAGAAAAAGCAAGCTTTCTCTCTCTCTTTTTTGTTTTTTGAGACAAGATCTCACTATATAGTTCAGCTGACCTTGCACTCACAGCAATCCTCCTGCCTCAGCCTCCCAAATGCTGGGATTACATGTTTGAGCCACTACGCATGGCCTCATCTCTTCTTATAAAGGCACTAATCTCATCCCAGGGCTACATCCTCATGATGTAATTACCTCCCAAATTGCCCATATCTAAATATTCCACTGGGGCTTATTGTTTCAATACACGATTTGGGAGAGGGAACAAACTTCCAGTGTATAACTACACAAACTGGAACATACATCTTATATGTGAACAAAATCTCAGATGTCATCAATGATAAGAGATAGCATTATTGGGCTTGGGATGTGGTAGGGGTAGAGCAATTACCAAGCATACCGAAGGCCATAGGTTCAATCTCCAGCACAAGAAAGAGAGAGGAGGGAGGGAGGGAAGAGGAGAAAGAGAGAGAGAAGAGAAAGAGGGGAAAGGGGGAATTATTTTATGTACCACCAAAAAAGGGGGGGGGGATTAAACTAGGTCACACAATTTGAATCAGGTGTGGTGATGCACATCTGTAATCCCAGAACTCAGGAGGCCGAGGCAGGAGGATCACTGTGAGTTCAAGGCCAGCCTGGACTACATAGGGAGTTCAAGGCCACCCTGAACTATGTAACAAGACCCTGCCTCAAAATACTAAAAATAAATACAATATAATAAAATAAATTAGGTCACACATCTGACTATAAGATGAATTCTGATTCCAACTAAGTTTTTCTTAAATCAATGAAATACAGCACATTCGTATGAATTCTTCGCCTGCCAGCTGCCCTTCACTACATAAAAGGGCACATATGTGCTGACCCAGGGCAGCTGATGTGGGACACTTTACACTGGTGGCTCCTGATAAGTCTGCTTCCCAACTTTCATGCCCTGGGATGATGTCTCTCTTGTTATTCTGGGGTTGGCCATGACACTGACTTTGGTCAATGGGATGTCAGCAAGCATAGTGCAAGTGGGGGTGTTTTTTTGGAATGCTCTCTGGGACCCCTTAACCACCATGTGAAGAGACACACCTACTCCCCTGGACCAGAAAAAGATGCTTGGTCCATTCCCAGAAAGAATCAGCCAGGTCAGTGAGCTGTCAGACATTCAAAGGAAGCCGGCTTGGATTCCTCAAACTACAGCCAGGAGCAACCAAAGCAAGACAGCAGTGCTGCCAGCTGAGCCCAGCTCAGGTCTACAGAATCACAAGGCAGAAGTGGTTGTTTTATACCTTAACTGTTGGGGTGCAGACACTGGCACCTGCCTTGCATTGTGCTAATATGTAATTGGCTTGTTGTCTATGAGAGGCTCTGAGCAAGTGGGCTTTGGTCAAGGGGGTTTCTGAGGTGGTGGCACTTTGGGTAATCCAACTATGATGAAGCCAGAGCAGTGGTGGGAAAGCTAGCAGGAGCAGAGTGGAGTCCTCTTAGTGTGGGTTTCCCCAGAAGCAGACACAGAGGCAAGCACCAGAGGGCAAGTTTATTAGGAAGGGTTGAAAACATTGGTAGGGGAGGCAGGAAGAAACACAGAGAAAGGAGAACAGCCAAGCACAATGCACACACCTATAATCCCAGCACTCTGGGAAGCTGAAGCAGGAGGAGCATAAATTCCAGCCCAGCCTGGACAACTTAAATGAGATCCAAGTCCGGACTCAAAATTTAAAACTTTTCAAATGGCTAGGATGTAGCTTAGTGTGAAAACCCTGGGTTCAATCCCCAGTACAAGAAAAGAAAAATGAAAATAAGAGAAAGAAAATAACCAAGAAGGTGTGTTAAGCCTGAACACTAAAGAGAACAGGAGCTCCATTCTGCTGGGGGGCTCAGAGAGCCTGAGCAGTACATATACTTCTGAGCTAGCCCAACAGGGAGGTAAGGGACCGGAGTATTCACACCCTATCTCCTGTCAGTCATGGTTGAGGGCCACTGGAATGAAAGCAGGGATGCGATCTCTGGCTTTTTTTTCTGCAGTGCTAGGGGTCAAACCTAGGGCCTTGAATGCTAGGCAAGCAGTCTACCACTGAGCCCCACCTCAATAAACTCCCTGGCTTTTGAAGCTTGCCACATCTCTCAGAGGGCAGAGTGATCTGAGGATGCCCACAGCAGGAAGATGGCCATGTGCAAATCAGGAAATGTGCTCACTGGACATGGATCTGTTGGCACCTCCATGCTGGGCTTTGCAGCTCCTAGAACTGTGAAGAATAATTCACAGGAGGTGGGTGGGTAGACAGGGTAAGGGGATGGCACCAGTGTCTACTACATGCTCCACCAGGCACATCCATCCAGATGTGACCCCTCATTCCCCCAGAGATGAGACAATGCAGTTCTAGTTTGAACTGAGTTTAATAAGGAGCTTCAGAGACGCTCAGATTAGGGGAAGGATTCACTAGGACTTCGGAGGTCTCTGACAGGGACTCCACTGAATTCTGAGTCAGAAAACAGTAGGAACTGGGCCACATGAGTGCCAGAGGGTCCTTCCTACATCCCAGGGGCTCAGATCTAAGCAGTGTGGCTCCTCAGGAGGGCTGGAGGCCATTTGAGGAGCCCCACTGGGAAGGTACTGGAATGTCCTGAATACCAGGAAAGGCAATGACATCTGCATTTCTGGGTACAAGGAGCTGAGCTGGGGAGAGAACCCTGAAAGATCCTGGAGAGTGGCAGTTAGAGGGATCTGGGTGTTTCATAGAAACAATCAAGGGGCCTCGATTTCACAGAAATCATCAAGAAGGCTCCTTGTGGTGGGGGAGGGGTAGTACACCACCCCAAATATTGGGGATTGTGCACTCCCCAGCAGCCATTTTGGGGTTTTAATGTAAGACCCTAATGGCAAGACGTTCCACATACGTATCATGGGTTTGCATCATTAGCATACGCTGACTGTCCCACAGGACGGTGGGGGACTGGAAAATCAGTCCAGGTCTGAGTTGAGTCCTAAGAGGACAAGCCTGGGGGTGCCACACGGCTCCTCTTCAACAGCTGCCGGAGCTGGAGACAAGCAAGGGAGAGTGAGAAGTGTGGGTGGGTGGAAGGAAATGGGGGGAGAGTGGTCTCGAGGTACAGTTAAGGATCAGACCTGGGGAAAGAGAAGGACAGGTGTTGCTGGCTGGGAGCTCCCACCTTGGGGTTAGCACTGAAGGGAGTGAAAAGGTAGAGACAAGGGTCAGAAGTCACATTTGAGGTCCAGACTCAGGGATGGAAGTCTGGAGGTCCCACTAGGGGAGGGTGGAAGCCACATTCTGGTCAAGACTCAGGGTTGGGGTAGAGGTCAGGAGAGACCGCGTTGAGGGAAAGGATCAAACAGCGATGTCAGAGGTCACATTCTGAAGTCAGGGATGGATAAGGGTTGAGGTCACCCTAACGTCAGGGTTGGGTGAGGTAGCTCCCTCCTCCCCGAACTGGCTCAGAGGCTACTCCACTCAAGTGAGGCTCACCCCCTCAGGGCCCGGCCCAGGTCGCAGCAGGTGGATGGGCTGCTCATTCTCCAGGTTGCGAAGTGTTGGGTCTGCCCCGGCTGCCAACAGGTGCCGCACAATGGACTCTTGGAGAGGTCCAGGGGGGAGGGCCGCTGCCATGTGGAGGGCTGTGTTCCCATGGGCCTGGCACAGTGAAAGGCAGGCTGATGAGGATCTGTGCTCAGCTGCCTGGGCCCCCACATGCACTCTATCTGCCATACTCACATCCCCCACTCCCCTCCATGTCCCAGATGTCTCCTTCCCATCCACATTCTTCACAGCTGTGTCTGTGTCCCATGCAATTCCCTTCATGCTTCACACACTGTCCCCTTCATGCCCCATGGCCACAGGACCCCAACATCCCACTGCCCTTAGCTCCCATAGCTCACACAACCTGCATACCGAGCCCAGGCCCCTACCTTCATGTTGACAAAGGTCCGCAGGTCCCCCCGGGGAAGTTCCAGCAGCAACTGAACCAGGGTAGGGTTGGCAGCTTGCACAGCCAAGTGCAGAACTGTCTTGTTGCTCTTGATCTCCTGTGGGTGTGGGTGTGGCAGAGGTCAGGCCAATCCTCCACTCAGACCCCCTCCTATGGAACCCAGGCGCCTTTAGAGACCTTGGCCATCCTCTGCAAGACCCATCCAAGGGTGCCTTATATTGTGTACTACACAATAGTGCCATATTCAAAGGGCAGCAGTTCCTACCATGCAAATCATAGAACTGTACACGTACTATGATAATTTTCTTGTGCAAATGTCTGAGAAACTGGCTCTTTTTTGGAATCTCTCAAAGACTCTCTCAAAGGAGGCATTTGTCCTGGCCACCTGCATTCTATTTAACACATTAAAATGCACCCCGTCCCATGCAGACTGTAGTTTATCCAAAAGGACAGGCGTTGGTAGCATTTACTGGTGGACTCACTAAGCCATATCCACTGCAATACTGAGCCATTCTCGACATGTTTTGGAAAAAATAAAAGACAGTTTCTAAAATAAAACTTTACTACATGCCTTTAAGGAATTTATGTTCTTTTTTTTTTTTTTTTCCTCCTTGTAGTAAAGGAATCGAACCCAGAACCTTTACACTAAAGTACGGAATCCCCAATCCTTTCTAAAATTTTGAGACAGAGTCTCACTAAATTTCCCAGTCTGGGCTTGAACTTGCAATCCTTGTTCCTCAGTCTCCCAGAGTACTGAGATTACAGCCATGTATCACCATGCCTGGCAAAATGTATGTTCTTTAAAAATGAGTATTAAAAATTTTATGGGTTGTACAAGGAAACCAACCTACTTTGCTCACCAAATAAATTATGAAAAAAAAAATAGATGGAAGAAGCTTTATATTAAAAATAACTTAAATCCTGGTGTGGTGGCATACAGCACTCTGTAATCCCAGCACTCTGGGAGGCTGAGGTAGGAAGATCACAAGTTCAAGTCCAGCCTGGGCAATTTAGTAACTGAGACCCCAATCGCAAAAAACTAAAAAAAGGGCTGGAGATGTAGCTCAGCGTAAAGGTCCTGGGTTTAATCCTCAGTACCAAAAACTCCATTAAGTTAAAAAAAGATATATCATTGTAAAATGTAGACTTTATTTGTACCTTTAATGAAAAACGAGTCACTTTACAGGCAAAAAGAAATTGGAACACAGCCAGTATATTTGAGATTATGAGATCACCAATGTTTTAAAGGTAGAAGAATAGTATTGAGGGTTAAAGGAATTTTCTTTTAAAGACACAAGCAGCTCAGTGGTAGAACATGTACTCTGGATTTAATCCCCAGCACCAAGGAAAAAAAGATACAAAAACATACAGAAATAATAATATAATTATATGCTTGGATTTGGATTTGCTTAAAAATAACATAGGATGGTACAGCAAGGTCCTAGGTTCAATCCCAGTATCGCCAAAAAAGAAAAATAAATGACATAGGAAAGAAAGAGGATGGATGGGCCAGGGCTGGCCATGAGCTACCAGTTATTGATTCTGGGTACACGGAATTCATTTCTATACTTTACCTGCATTCAAAATTCTTTTTTCCCCCCAGTTCTGGGAATTGAATGTGGAGTCTTCACACTGAGCTATATTTCAGCACTTATTTTTAATTATGAGACAGGGTCTTGCTAAATTGTCCAGGCTGGGCTCAAACTTGCAATCCACCTGTCTCAGCCTCCCACAGTGGTGGGATTATAGAAATGTGCCACCAAGATGGGCTTGTGTTCAGAATCCTTGAACTAAAAAAAAGTATTTTTAACTAAGTGATATTTAATCCTCAGCCACCCTGTAAAGAAGTTACTGTCACGGGAAAGGAGGATAATAGAATTAGGACCTGGATTCTAGGGTGAGACTCCCTGGATTCTACTCCCCTCTCTGATATACAAACTCTAAGATTTCTGACTTAGAACCTGTGCCTATTTCCTTGTCAGTAAAATGAGAAAATAATAATAGTAGCTGCCTCAAAGGGTGTTTGTGAGGATCTAACAAATCCAATACACTTGGTTGAATAGTAAGTGGTTGACAAATTTAACTTAAGATCAATAATATTACTGCAAGTTGACAACTAGAGAAGTGAAGTAACGTGCTCAGGGTCACATAGCCAGAAAAAGACAAAGTCAGCATTTGGTTAGTGTCCTGGACACTCAGATGGCTCTCTCCCACATACCCTCCTACAGGCCAGCCACTCACAACCCCAGCTCACCTGGCTGGTATGATCTGCACCTATGTGCAACAACATCTGGACACAGGCCAGTCTGTCTCGGGCTTGGGCACTCAGCATCCGAGGACAGAGGGTGGGTGGATGCATAGCAGCATTGAGGGCCAGGATGGCTGTGTGGAGGGGGGTAAGGCCTGCAGAATGGAAATAGTAAGGGATGTGCACCTGGGATACCCACTCTGCCCTGCCTCTCCTGTCACAAACAGCCCTGCCCACACCAGCTCACCTTCAAAGTCTCTGGCTTCCAGGTTGACCTGAACGCCTGATTTAAACACAGCCTGAGAGGAAGAGGAAGAAGAGGGATGTGAAAAGGTCTCCCAGGGCTCCTAGCCTGCAAGCTAGGATCTGAGCAACCAATCCATCCCAGACACCCCTCCTGCCAGCTGGCCATACCGAAAGGACACTTGGGAGCCCATAAGTAGCAGCCACGTGCAAGACAGAACGTCCCTGATGGTCAGTGGCATTAGGCTCTGCGCCCAGGTTCAACAGATCCTCCACAATCAGCGGCTGATTGGCGGCAGCAGCCACCAGGAGAGGGGTCTGCAGGTCACAGGAAAAGTCAGACTGGGTTCCTAGGAGCCTCCTCTCTGAAAAAATGGAATCCAGGCTCCCAGCCCCTTCCACCCTCAGATCCAGGAATTCAGAACCCCACTGCCCTCTCTTCTCCAGGATCTAGAACTTCAGGCCTCTATTTCTCACCTTGCCCTTATGTTCACGAATATCCAGATGTCTGTACATCTGGAGAACCTCAGCTGCAGCATAAGCTGCCCAGCGCAGTCCTCGAGCTGCAAACAGGTGGAGGAGCCTGAGGACAGGTGGAGGCAGCAGTGAGAACAGCCCCTGCTGAGCTAGGAGGTCAAAGAGCCTCCCCTTTCCCATACACTCACGTGTCTCCCTCCTCATCCTGGGCCAGCAGCTGTTGGGGCCCCATGGCCAGCATGTGAGCTCGGGCTGTATCCAGGGATGGTCCCATACATGGAAGCAACTGTGGGGGTCCTGAAGGGAGCCCAGAAACTCTCCAGGTTCCTGCCTGTTGCAGGGAGGGTTCTCCATAGAGGCGAGTATCCGAGGGATCCTGAAGGGTGCAGGTAGAAGAGACAATGAGTCAGCCAAGAACCCAACTCCTACTCTACCACACAGCCCCTGTACCAAGCGACTTTGAACCTTTGGGCCTTGGTTTTACCCATCTGGGGAATGGGGTCTTACCCTAGCCCCTGGCATTTTAGAATGCTGCCTGAGGGCAACTGGGAAGTTTTAGGGGTCTTCAGCATCCTCTCCCTACTCAATATCTCACCTTCATCCCCACGGGAAATGGGCCCAGCCTTCCTGAGTCCAAGGGTGGGTAGAAATCAGGAGACAGGAAACCTTCAGCAGCAGAAGCAGGGTAAGAGCAAGGGCTATCTGTATAGGCAGCGTGCGTGTTGGGGTCCCAGTCTGGAAAGCCTGTGGAGGGGGGCAGGCTGCCAAATCCAGAACCCAGAGTCTCTGGGAGTGCTGAGAAGTGGGTATGGCCTGTGTGTGAGAGGAGGGGCAAGGCAGGCCTGGTTACCAGTGGTGGGGGAGTCACAGCCAGGGCACTGTGACTCCCAAGACCCTGAGAGCTAGGACTTCAGGGACACCAAGGGGCTGGGGCCTAAAATCCTGGTACACCATGGGAACAGAAGCCTAGACTCCTGGGAAACCAAGGGCCTGGGCTCCTAAAGGACTACGTGCACAGATTACTGGGCTCCAGCTTTTGCTGAGTGCCAGAAGAATGGGGGCCTGACCCTTAGGTCTCCCAAAGTTCTAGGATTTGGGATGCCTGGTAGCCTAAGGGAAGCAGGTGAGTTTCCAGACTTACCAGCCTCCACCTCATTCACAGATGTGGTCAGGGGCTGGGACGGGGAAGGGGAGAACTGGCCCTATAGAGACAGAAGCAAAAAGGAACATGGGTGAATTTCTGGATCTGGCAGATTCGCAGCATCTGGTCCCAATCTATAGGGTATCAGAATGAGGACTACGACTCTCATCAACCCTGAGGGCCAGCAAGCCAGTAAATTCCTGCCGCACATCACATGGCCTGCACGAACTACAGGGATCCCCGGGCCTCACCGGTGCCCCGCCGGTGGCGTCTGGCTGCTGCTGTCGACGCCTCTGTTCTTCCAGGAGCTTCTTCACGGTCTGTGTTTGGCAGTGGCTCCGCTCATTTCGACTCACTGTGGGGGAGGACACAGAGTCATCAGGGTCCTTAAGTCACCCAAGTGCACGGGGTGGAGGGGTGGATGTAGGCGTCCTCCTGCGCGGAAAAACTGGCACATTGATGCGGCCTGAGAACTCCAAAGCCAACAGATTTTGAGTGCGGCGCCCGCCTCCGCTGTTTCCTCCCCTTTGCTCCGCACTTTCTCTCTGACCCAACTTTCCACCCGCGTCGCGGAAACTAAGGAAGGGGGAGGAGATCGCCCCTTGGCAGCAACCCCCTCCACTTCCGTAAAAAAAAATCCCACCCCTTGATCAACCAGTCCTGAGCTCTGGGTCGGGGTGCGGCGCCGACATCGGCTCCCTCGGAGATGCACATCCAGGTCCCCAATATCTTTCTGCCCTAAAAGCTGACCAGCTTGCTACTCTCCCGGGAGCCCCTCCCCAGGGGTCACGATTGCAGAGCCCCCTAACTCATCAGGGATCTGGAGATCCAGACCCCACAACCCACCCGAACCTCCGAAGACTCAGGAGTCCAGAGCGCACGCCACAGACGCAGCGGTTCCGGAGTCCAACATCCTCTTTCCTAGGACCCAGGAAGCCCAGACCCGCGACGCTCAGCAGTCTCAGCCCGGGTTCCGGCGAAGGACGGGTTAAAACCCAGAGGTCGACTCGGAAAGCGCGGGACGCGACGCGCTGACGTCACGGCGCTACGCAAGGGAATCTTCCACCGCCCCTCCCCCTCCGCGCGCGCCGCGCAGCAGGTGTCCGGCCCGAGGCGGGTGCGTGGCAGAACGTGGAACTAGCGGAATCCCCGCGCGCGGGGAATTCCTGCCCAGCCCTGGGGCCTGCACGCTCGGCGCAGGGGGAAATCCCGGAGCTGGGGCAGGGTCGCGGCCAGCGTGGACCCCAGCGGCGAGGCGCCAACCTTACCTTATGAGACCCACGGCCGAGGTTGAACAACCACGCCCCCCCAGGCCTCGGTGCCGCTCCTCCTGCCACTGGACCCAGGGGTCCGCCCCCACCTGTCCTTGCACCCCCAGACCCAGGATTCTGGATCCGCCGTCCCTGCCGCCCCCGGGACTCAGGAGTCCAGATTCTCCTGAGAACAACCGGCACTCGAACTCACGGGGGCCAGAATACAGTGATCCAGCTCGCTCCCCTCAAAAGTCCAACCCCAGCCTGTCACTCCTTATTTTCAGTCCTGGGGACTGAACCCAGTAGTTCGCACTGAGCTACTTCCCGAGCCCTTTTATGTTTTGAGACAGTCTTGCTAAATCGCCAGATTGACCAGGCTGGGCTCAAATTTTCGATCCTCCTGCCTCAGCCTCCAGAGTGCTGGGATTAACAGGCTCGCGCCCCTGTGCCCGGCTTGTCTCTCTTAAGTAGCTAAGCGCCGCCCCCCCCCCCCCCCATCCATTACCTCGAGGATTCCGTGGCGCGGATTGCGGGCCCGCAGGGCCGCGGCCTCGGCGCTGCGCCAGCCTCACTGTTTCCCCGCGGAGCCGCCGCCGGGTCCCCGATTTTGGGTCTGGTCCCCCACGAGGTTTTAAATTGGGGTTCAGGCACCGCCCAGTCCCGGGCGGGCCCCTACCCACAGGTCTGGGAGTCCCCGCGTCACGCTCCAGCAAATTCAGTTTCTGAATGGGCGGGGCTGATTTGGAGGGTTTGACTCCCGAGCCCCCCTCCCGCAAAGGGGGAGCTGGGGAGTCCCAGTGCCTGATCTGAAGGAGCCGCCCACAGCACCCGACTCCAGGACGAGGGGAACACTGGGATTCTGGACTTCTGAATCTCTCGCCACTTTGACTCCCGGACCCTAGGCTGAGAACAGGCAGAGCCCTATTGTTGGGTCGTAGCTGAGGAAACCTGGGGTCTGGACTCCTGATCCGAGAGCCGGGGGTCCCCTCCTGACCTCAGAAGTCAGGTTTCGTGTATTCTTCATCGTTTAAAACAATTCGTTACTGGCCATGCGTGGTGGCACATGCCTGTAAGCTCAGTCAGTGCTCTGGGAGGCCGAAGCAGGAGGATTCAAACTCAGCAGTCACCTTAGGGACTTAGCTAGACTGTCTCAAAATTTTAAATAAAGAAAGAAGGAGAAGGAGAAAGAAGGAGGAAGGAGGAAGGAGGAAGGAAGAAGAAAGAAGAAGATGAAGTTGTTGTTACCATAGGGCAGGCACTTTGCTGTCTGCTGTGATAGAGACCTGTGAACTAAGCCAGCCAGCAGGAATTCCCAGCCCTCAAGCTGACATTCCCACGAAAACAGCTCTCAGTTCCCACTCCGTGACCATCTCAGCGCTGACCATCGTGTCCAAATTTCTCTCCTGCTTTCCAGACTCTGCTCTCCTGGGTCTCCCCTCTCCCTCCATGCTCGTCCTCAGTTTCTCTGGCCAATTCCTCCTCGTCTTCCATTCTGAATGTGCACTTTGGGAAACGGGGTGGGGGGTGTCCTCTGTCTGTACAAACTTCCTTAGTGTTGTCATCCGGTCTCAGGGTTTTAAATACCATCCTTAAACCATCTATATTTGAATTTCCATCTCCAGACCAGACATATAAAAGAGCTGAGGGATAATCTCAGCTCTCTGGAAGGCTGAGGCAAGAGGATCATAAGCTCCAGACCAGTTTAGGCAATTTGAGAGAGAGAGAGAGAGAGAGAGAGAGAGAGAGAGAGAGAGAGAGAGAGAGAGAGAGAGAGAGAGAGAGAGAGAGAGAGAGAGAGAGAGAGAGAGAGAGATGGGGCTGGGCATGTAGCTCAGTGTGAAGGCCTGGGTTCAATCCCCAGTATGGGGGTTGTGGGAGAGGGAGGGAGAGAGAGAAATTGATTGAGAGAGATTGAGCACTGTGGGCTTTCAGCAACTCCACAGGGAGCTGTGTCAGGCATTTCCAACTCTGAGTGCCCAGTCCTCAGCACTTCCCTTCACGCCAGCTAGCACCACTCCTCAGTCCATGCTCCTTCTTTTCAGCTGCTCCCTCTGAAAGCCTAGGTCAAACTGAATCCCTCTCCTACACCCACATCCGCTCCATCAGCAAATGTCCTTGGCTCTACCTCCAAACTATTTCTAGAATCCTCCTATGCCCACACCCTGTCCACCTGTCACTCCCACCTGGACAACCATAGCAGCTTCTGGAGCTCTCTGAACCTCCCCTTATCACTCCTCAAAGGCAGTTGCAGAGGCACCCCCCACACACAAACACATGCACAGGAAATAGGTGGCCTTGGAGGGTGTCATCTGCTATTGCCACCTCTCTGCTCCCCCACTGTTCTTCGGGACTTCTCTGGACCAGAGTCCTGGCCAGGGCCCTCAGCTACCAGCCCACTATGGCCCCTGCGGGCCAAATCCTTCTCCTGCTTCTGCTCCCAGGTGAAGCCAGCAGTTACTGGGGGCTGGCAGGCACAGTACCTGTGGGAAGGGTGACGTCTGAAGGCATGGGTGCTGTGGGTACCTTCTTCCCTGTGTCTCTTCCCTTCCTGGAGATCCATTGGATCTTAGGGCCTGGGCTCTTGAGGGAGAATATGTGGGTGGGACATTCTGGAGCCTGTAATCTCCCCTCATGTCCTATTATTAAACTCCCCGCGTCAATGCTAGGTGACTGCTTTGTCTTCCCACTTTCCTTCTTTTTTGAGGGGTGCAGGAGTATTGGAGATCAAACCCAGGGCTTTTGCACTAAGCTACATCTCTAGCCCTTTAAAAAATTTTATTTATTTGAGACAAAGAAAGGCTCATTAAATCACTAAATTGCCCAGACTAGGCTCAAACTTGGAACCTCCTGCCTCAGCCTCCCAAAATGCTGGGAATACAGGCGTGTACCACCATACCTGGCTTCTACTTCCCACCTTCTGTCCCTCTCTGTGTCCCTGGCAGCTCCCCTTTCCCTTCGGCCCACCTTTCTCATTCATCTGTCCAGAACAGAGCTTATTTCTCAAGATACCCCCTTCCCTGTTTGGGGGACTGTTCCCCCCTCATCCACTTTCTCTTTCCACAGTGGTTGCAGCTCAGACGCCCCCAGGTGAGAGATCACTCCCTCCCTCTGGCACTCAGGTACCACTTCCATCTCTAAAGGAGAGGGTCTCAGAGTCCTCCAACACCCCCAGTGGCTGCCCAGGCCACCGCCTGGCCTCCAGTCTCCAAATCCGAGCCCCCAGAAGATCTGCAACTTTCTCCAGGGCCCACCTTGTCCTTGTCATTATCAAACTGAAGCCCTGGGGACTCAGTGACCACTGTGCCTCTCTGGTGGTAGCCCATGTGCCCAAGGCATAGCCTCACGAGTCCCGAGACACCCTAGCCCCTCTGGATGTCAGTCTCCTTTCATTCCCCAAGCATAACCCCAGGGTCTGGGATCCACTTCAGTCCCAGGGGTCTTCCTTTTCTCCCTATGCCCCAAAGCACAGCTGGGGACCCAGAGCGCCCTCAGCCATCTTCTTGCCTGGGCCCCACCCTCAAGGTTCCTGCTCCGGATGTGGGCCACTCTCCCTGCCGCTCCTGGCTGGCCTTGTGGCTGCAGATGCGATCGATCACGCTGCTCTTCGCCTGCGCTCGTCCCCGCCCCCGCCCCCGCCCCCGCTCTCGCCGTAGGGCCCCCCCCCAGGTAACGGCAGAGACTGGGTGGGGCCTGGAGAGAGGGTAGTGTCCCTAGAGAAGGGGTCCCGTGGAGGGGGGTCCCGGGGGAAGCCCTGGAGGAGATGCTGGGGAAACCCTGGGGGAGGTGCCTGGGGGAACCCCTGAGGAAACCCCAGAGGCAGGGGGTCCCCAGGAAGGTGAAGCAGTGGGGAGGGTGGTGGGTGGTCAGGCTTCATGATTTCTCTCCCCCACCCCCAGAAGACATGAGAGTCTACACCAATATGCCCGGTCGGGGCTGACTCCTGACTTCTTCTGCCCCTGACTTCTGACCTCATTCTGGACTCTGAGTGGCATCATAGAAAGACACACACAAGTACACACGGGGGCGCGCAGGCATACACACACCCCTCCCTTCTGGTTTGAAATAAAGCAATTAAAATTCTCTAGTTTTATTCTTCTTCAAAAGAACCTCAGGGTTCTTAAAGCCCTCCCCGCCCCAGCTGTTTCTAGACCAAAGACCCCTCAGGACCCCACGTATCCCCAGTTCCTCAGCCCAGGGATCAGACATAACTGAGCAGTTTCTTGCTTTTGTGCTCCATTGTTTATTTGGGGGCAATACTGGGGAGAGATCTGGTACCTCAGGGAGGGCACTCTGTGGATCTCTATCCCAGTAGGAGTAGAAATGATGTGCTGCGTGGGCATCAGAAATGGCTGGATCCAGGCATCAGGTTGATGAGAGGTGTAATTTGGACTCATTTGTAATAAGGCTGCCGCTGTGTGTTGAGGTCACTGTAGATATCTGACCTTGTACCTTGGAGCTCCTAAAGGGATGGAGACCATCAGTGGAAGGGGCCCAACAAATAAACTGAAAACAAAATCCAACCTTCTTCCAATGGCCTGAAACCTTCTTCAACCTTAGAGCCATGAAAGAGATCTAAATTTTATTCAAGTACATTCTGTGTTCCTCTTTCCCCTCTGCTTTATCATTATGCTCTAGCCTCAGGGGCTTTGCACAGGCTATTCCCTCCCTAGAATATGGGTTCCTTAGATCTTTAACCTCCTTCTTCCTCTTCAAGTCTCAGCTCATCACATCCTCAGAGGGCATTTCTCAGTTTCCTCCTCTATATTGCCCCCTCCAATCACTATCATATTAGCCTGCTTTATTTTCTTCATGGTGGCTTCCTCAAAATGATTTTTGTTAATTTGCTTCAAGTCTGTCTCCTCAACTAGGCTGTAATCTCTGTTGCCATGGGGCCAGCATGTGGTACATAAAGGTGCTTGACAAATACTGGAGGGCTGGATAAATCAGGGTAATCCCTTGCCCTAAAGTTTCATGGCTCTCAGTAACTAGAATGCCGTCTCAGTCTTCTGGATCTCACCAAGCCAAACTCAAGATGTCTTGTACTTTGCAAAGAAACTTTTATCCACAATTGAGGGAAATCAGGAAAGCTGGTGGCAGACAGTAAATTAGACCTCAGGGTTCACAAACAGGGGTGGGATGGGGGCCTATGGGCCCAAGGGGCAGGCCTCAGGCAGAATCTATGATTGTATACCAGTGCCCAGTTGGGGCTCCCATTTCTCTGGGGAAGGGTCTCCGAGGATTTTGTGACCCCCCCCCAAGGAGGAGCCTTGATGGAGAGGGAGAGCTGGACAATGTCAGTCCCTATCGTGATTTGTGTGTGTGGT